TCTCACTGAAGTTTCTGATTCATACTTGACATTGTGGATAGATTATTACTTGAGCATAAGAAATCATATGACAAAATATATTTATGTTGTTGTTATAAGAATGACCATGATGCCCTCATGTCCGTATTTTATTTTATCGACACCTCTATCTCTAAACATGTGGACATATTTTTCGATATCGGCTTCCGCTTGAGGACAAGCGAGGTCAAAGCTTGGGGGAGTTGATACGTCCAATATGCATCATGCTTTTATATTGATATTTATTGCATTATGGATTGTTATTACACGTTATGTCACAATACTTATGCCTATTCTCTTATTTTACAAGGTTTACGTGAAGAGGGAGAATGCCGGTAGCTGGGATTCTGGGCTGGAAAAGGAGCAAATATTAGAGACCTATTCTGCACAACTCCAAAAGTCCTGAAACTCCACGAAAGTAATTTTTGGATTTAATAAAAAATACTGAGTGGAAGAAATACCAGAGGGGGGCCACCCACCGTCCACGAGGGTGGGGGCGCGCCCTACCCCCCTAGGCGCGCCCCCCTGCCTCGTGGGCCACCTACCAGCCCTCCGGGGCCCATCTTCTGCTATATGAAGTCTTTTACCCTGGAAAAAAATCATAAGCAAGCTTTCGGGATGAAACTCCGCCGCTACGAGGTGGAACCTTGTCGGAACCAATCTAGGGTTCCGGCAGAGCTGTTCTGCCTGGGAAACTTCCCTTTGGGAGGGGGAAATCATCACCATCATCATCACCATCGATCCTCTCATTGGGAGGGGGCCAATCTCCATCAACATCTTCACCAACACCATCTCCTCTCAAACCCTAGTTTATCTCTTGTATCCAATCTTTGTACCAAAACCTCAGATTGGTACCTGTGGGTTGCTAGTAGTGTTGATTACTCCTTGTAGTTGATGCTAGTTGGTTTATTCGATGGAAGATCATATGTTCAGATCCTTTATGCATATTAATACCCCTCTAATCATGAAAATGAATATGATTTGTGAGTAGTTACGTTTGTTCCTGAGGACATGGGAGAAGTCTTGCTATTAGTAGTCATGTGAATTTGGCATTCGTTTGATATTTTGATGAGATGTATGTTGTCTCTCCTCTAGTGCTGTTATGTGAATGTCCACTACATGACACTTCACCATTGTTTGGGCCTAGAGGAAGGCATTGGGAAGTAATAAGTAGATGATGGGTTGCTAGAGTGACAGAAGCTTAAACCCTAGTTTATGCGTTGCTTCGTAAGGGGCTGATTTGGATCCACATGTTTCATGCTATGGTTAGGTTTACCTTAATACTTCTTGTGTAGTTGCGGATGCTTGCAATAGGGGTTAATCATAAGTGGGATGCTTGTCCAAGAAAGGGAAGTACCCAAGCACCGGTCCGCCCACATATCAAATTGTCAAAGTAACGAACGCGAACCATATGAGCGTGATGAAAACTAGCTTGATGATAATTCGGTGTCCTCGGGAGCGCTTTTCTCTATATAAGAACTTGTCCAGGCTTGTCCTTTGCTACAAAAAGGATTGGGCCATCTTGCTGCACCTTATTTACTTTCATTGCTTGTTACCTGTTACAAATTACCTTATCACAAAACTATATGTTACTGATAATTTCAGTGCTTGTAGAGAATACCTTACTGAAAACCGCTTGTCATTTCCTTCTGCTCCTCGTTGGGTTCGACACTCTTACTTATCGAAAGGACTACGATAGATCCCCTACACTTGTGGGTCATCACCGATCTTTACCACGTCAAGCTCCATACACGTGTCCATCTCGAGTCGGGCGTCGGCTAACTCCAATGTGAGCACACATCTGTTCCCTCGAGTCAGATGAGTTCCGGGGCACGGGGAGTCTTTGGCATCAATAAATTCTACTCCGTGTGCAAGAACCGGCGTTCTTGTAGCCTCCTCATAACCACACGCCCGCGGGCTCAATATGTATTGTTCAGCCCAAAAATTATATGATAATACGATGCGGTATGGAATTTACGTTCCATGTGGGAATCAAAATAGCCGCCACGGCAGTCATGACTAAAATTGGAGAAAAGTTGTGGATGAAATAAATGATGGCACTTAGTCCCCCGCCACAAGGTAAAACTACAATGGACTAAAAATAGGCTTATCACAATTTTTGGGGAGAAGGCTTATTGCATTAGGAAAAAGGAATATGACTCAATTGAAAGGTGTCAGGTGTGCCTTATTGTTAAAGGCTTCAAGCAACATTAAAGTTTTGACTATCATGACGCTTAGCCCTATTGTATAACCTTTCACTATAAGGCTTGTCTTAGCCCTTGCAGTCTCCACAGGATGGTGTTCCCGCTAGCTTGTTGTGCAGAATGCATCAAATTCATGAAGTTCTGTGCGCAAGCAGGTGTATCTCAAACAACCACCAGGCCTCCTTCCTTCCCCACAGCTGTTGCGCCTCCTCCCTACCGCCACAGTCGCCGCCTTCTACCTCCTCGTCCTCCCTTCCTCTCACCACTACATCAATGGTTGGGGTAAGCGCCCACGCTGGTCAATGAAGGTGACCACGGGGAGGTGTCTACACCATTAGCCATCGGCAGTGGGATGTGATCTATGTACAACGACTTGAGGGAGAGGTTTATGGCTTGCAGAAGTGGCATTGGTGTTTCAGGTCGGGCCTACTCTCACTGGTGGCTAGGTGTTGGTGGTCGCGATCCCATCTTCCGATACACGGACGATAGCAACGGTATTTTGCGTCCCAATGAGGTGGTCTTCTGCTCGGGGGCGCAAATATCACTATGGTCATGCACTGTTAGGCGATTGTTACAATCTTGCGACAACGACAAGTATGTTTTGTGATCAATTATGCCATCACAGGAAACAACGGAGGATCTTGAGGATAGTTGGGACTGCTTGAACGCCCCAAATTGGGATTTTGGAGGTGCTTGTGGCCTTCCTCCCTCGACAATCTTCTTCGCATGTGCGATGGCGACATTCATCATTTAGAGCCTTTGGTGGTGATCCACTCTTTGTTGCCTTCTTTTGCGGGTATGATTTCTCACATGTGTGGCATCTCACGTCGAGACCATACTACACATGACGCTACTCAGATCGCGGAAAGTAGTGGCGACAACACATGATGACTTCAATTTGGTGGTGCTTCTCAAGTACCTGTCTCGAGCTCTGAGGTGAAAACCCTAGGTGTGACCCTAGTTGGGTATACCTAAAGATGGTGGGGTTTTCTGTTTTTACCTTTTAAAGGCATTGTTCGAATTTGTCTGGACTTGATCTTCAGGGTGAAAACCCAATGTCAGACCTTCAATGGTTGGATCCGGTGACTGATGGTGGTTGACTGTCGTTGCCTTCTTGAAGATGTTACTGCTAGAGAAGCTTTGGTGGTGCCCTTGTGATGTAAAAAGATGGTCATTGTTGTACTCGGTGTTTTGATGGCTTTGGAGTTTTTCCCTCCATCTAGGAATAGCTTTGCTCTTGTATGACTATACTTTTTGCCGGCGTGACTCTTTGTGTGTGTATGTTGATATTGGTTGTGTGCATGCTAGTCATGTAGTGGTCGGATGTGTGCTCGTTGTGTTCTGTATACTCTTGATACTTCATTTTGAGACAACAAATCCACTCTTCACCTGAGAAAAAAAAATGAAAACACCAAAACATCACACTATGTTTGCTTTATTGCTTCAAAAATTAACACACCCCTACATGTCTTTAATAATAAGGGCATGGGCACGAGAGCGGCGATTTGGTGCCCACGCTCATCTGCACCCGTGTTGAAGAAAAAAATTCAAAAAAATACTAAAAAATTCAAAAAATTCTAATTCTTTTTTGCATGGTAGATAATTTGGTGCATGAGGCGTGCTCCAAGTTTCAAATCATTTGGACATCTGAGTAGCCCTCGGCAAAGAAGACAAATTTGGGGTTTATAAAAATGTTAACTCTTCATGTATTGTTCTGACCGAATTTGTGTTTTTTGCTGAGAGCTACTCATATGTCCAAATGATCTGAAATTTGAAGTGCACCCTGCACATCAAATTATCTACCATGCAAAAAAAAAATGGATTTTTTGAATTGTTTTGTATTTTTTGTGATGGTATATTTGACGACATAATTGTAATGGGTTCATGCTGTCGCAACACTTCTAGACGATCTCAGTTCTAACTTTGTCCTTAAAGATTTGGGGTATTTGCAAAAAATTTGGTCGTTGAGGTGAGGAGGCGAGATGATGAGCAACTTCTCACCTAAAGTATGCACTTGAATTACTCAAGAGTCAATACGAATAATTGGAAGCTATTCCAACTCCACTTTCTACCCGTGAAGGAGAACCTTCGAATGCCACAGACTTGAGCAAGTATAGAAGTGTTGTTGGAGGATTAAAGTACTTAATTCTTATAAGGTCGGATCTTGCGTCTTTGGTTAACAAAATTTGCATTATTTACATGCACCTATAATAGCTCACTGGATCCTAATATACATTAAAAAAAAGGGTCGGTTGACCTTGGTCTCACATTCAGAAAGTCTCCATCTTCCTTGGCCTGCTGCTTTTTTTTTATGCCAATTGGGCAGGTTGCTCAGATGACAAACGGTCAGAGGGGGGCTTTGTAGCAAGCAACAATGTCTAGATCCAACTCAGAGATTCGGTATGAAGCCCTGGCAATGTTACAACAGAGATAATTTGTGCGCAATGACTACTCAAAGAACCTGAAGTTCCTCAAGAAAGAGTGTCTTGTTTCTGGTGTCATAATCATGGCACAACCATCTGTCAGTGAATCGAGTCTTGGCACAACCAATCGGTCAGTGAATCGAGTCTTCAATGCACACATCTCAACCAAGTGAGTGCATCTGTGTTGTGGAACACCACTGAACTACCCATATGAATAGTTGTTTCTGATTGCTTGGAATGTGAAGTATGACAATGGTACGAATTTAAAAAAAAAGGCATACAGAGAAAGATGCACAAAATTACAAGTGGTGAACAGAAACTCAGTGGCAGTCATTTTACGGAGACCTGGTAGATCTCAGCCTGCTTTCTTGTTCACTTTGAGGTAGGGCAGCGCACCCATCACGTTGCTGTAGTCGCTCTTGTTAACTTGGACCTGCAGCGGAAGATAGCAGTCTCAGTCTCAGAGGCATGAAAATTGGCACCGCGGCACAAAGTGGCAAGTTTCACCGATCTAGTGAAGCTGTCATGGAGTCATAGTACTACAGTCTGTAAATAAGCTACACCAAAATTGAAATTCCAAGAGCAAATTACTGTTACTTTCCCAGTGGCTTAATTTTCCAGACAGTTGTGTTTCATAATATGACACTATAGCTCATGGTTGCTAATCTGTTGGCATATGTCTCTGTTCTCAAGGGACCAAATAATACTTTTTCTGCAGTGCATATAAATTAAAGATAACAAAATTTTCCTCACGGCATGGCATATCAAATTTCACTATTCAAGAATTAGCAGTTTGCAGTAATAGCACAAATACATATGAAAGAAACGCCGCCTTCTTCTCGGCAACTGATTTGATATTAGCATCAATTATGGTTCATTAACTGTGGAATGAGTTGAAATTACCTACAGAGAACTAGTCACAAAGAGATCAAACAGGAGCTTCTGGATGCCAGACACTGTACACTATGTGCATTGTTGTTACAAATTAAGAAACTGACAGATTCAGCCAGCCATATTTACGCCGAACCTCACAGCTCAAATGAAGCCCAGGAATTCACCGCAGTTTGGGCACAGCCCTGGAAATGCATTCAGAACGTTGACACCAACAAAACCGTCTGACCGTGGACAGTTTGGGCGCTACTGAATTCACATTTAGCTCTCGTAACTGAACTACCATTAGCTGAACAAAGAAGGAAACTGTGGCAGAGTGAGCATGTAGTTACCATCTTGGAGAGCCTCTTCCGGCGCTTGGCGTTCTTCTTGCTGAGCAGATGCTGCTTCCCGGCGCAGCGCCGCACGATCTTCCCGGTCCCCGTCACCCTGAACCGCTTCGCCGACGCCTGCACACACACACACACACACACAGACCGGAGCAGAGGAAATCAAGAAACGCCCAATGCGACAAATGTGCACTTCTCGATAACGAGCCCAGAGAAGAAGGCGAGAAGGAAACCTTGTGCGTCTTCATCTTGTACCCCTTCCCGGCGGCGACTACGGCGAGGGGGCGCGGGAGCGGGGCCGCCGGGGAGAGCGCGGCGGCGCCGGCGGCGGCCACGGCCAGCGGCGCGCCGAAGAATGAGTTGGCCGGGAAGGCGAGGGCGGAGTGGGCCAGCCTCCTGCCGGGGAGGGCCTGGAGGACCGGAGGCAGGGCCAGGCGCGCGAGGGAGAGCGACATGGCCATGGCTTCCTCTCTCTCGCGCGTGGTTCTTGTTGGGGGAGTGCGTCTTCTTCCTCTTGCGGGAGTGAGCCGAAGGGGATTAGATAGAGGAGAGAGCCGAGCTGAGCGGATAGCGTACGGGCGAAATTCACAAGAGTTCACATTGCATGGGCCGTCGAAGCGGCCCACATATGGGGCTGGCCTGATGAAAAAGGCCGCGTACAGCATGGGCCTGGGCTGCGGAGTCGACACACTGAAAAAAACGTCGCGAGGAAGAGGGAGCTGGCGGCGGGAGTCACCCCGGAGCTGGGGAAGACGAAGGGGGCGTCGGTAACCGCATCAGCCAGCTCCCCGATGGCGTCCTGGGCGAGATTGTCTCCCGCCTCCTCACCAAGGAGGAACTCGTCATCGTGAATGCCCCTTGTCTCTTAAGGCTGTTCCGTATCGATCTATCCGATGGCCTGCGAGTATCGGTGATCTCCATGCCTAGGCTGGAGACCTTGTGCTTGCTTGATGATGATAATTTCAGTTTCGACAGGATTATTCAGTTACTTTTTTTTTTGAACCGGGCTTTTCGACCCCTTTCCATTGCATAGAATGGAAATACATCAGTCCCAGAAACATGTTCAGAAAGAAGGGAAAGGGAAAAAGCGAGTTCAAGCACTACCAGGAAACCCACCACACTCGCCCGACATCGTGACGAGTGCTATGGGGCGAAAACCTGAGCAGCACCAATATTCATAAAGTCTGACTAGATATTACAAAACCGATCTGCTGGGGACCAAATTGACACTACCAGACCAAAATATCATGCTAATCGAAGCAACGAGGAGCAGCAGGCTTCAGACTTCGGCGTGGATCGCCCAGAAGGTCACTCTCCGGTGATTGGCTGCCTGGCTGCCTCGCACAGCTTCATCATCTGCATGGTCCCCGCCCTGATCTGCTCCGCGCCTGTGCGTAGCCTCTTAGCATCATCTCCTTGCTGCAGACCTATCCAATAGAGCAAGAAAGAGCACATGAAAAAGACTATCTCAAAAGGAGTTTTGATCATTTTCTTCTCAAAGGTGGCATGATTTCGGGCCAGCCAGACAGCCCAGCAGGCAGCTGCCAGGCCCACTGTATAAAATTTCTCTCCCCCAGGAAGAAAAGCATGGCACCACGCATAGTACTGCCAGTAATTACTGGGGCATCTATCAGTACCCAGCACGATCCCAACGGATCTCCACAGACATTTCGCCACATGGCACGTAAAAAACAAATGTCTCGAACTCTCAATCTCGTTACAAAAGGAACAACAAGGATTACCAGGCCATCTCCTACCACACATAACCTGTCTAGTCAGCACAGCATCTTGCGACATCTGCGAGAGGAAGATTTTTATTTTAAGGGGAAGTTTGGCTCTCCAGATCCATCTATAGTGGCATCCGCTAATCGATCTCTCCAGCCACTTGTAGACCGACTTAGTCAAGAACTTACCGTTTTGGTTGAGCCCCCAGGACACCCAATCGCTAGTAGCGGTTAGCGTAAGGCCATCCACCGTAGCTTGGATCGTCTTCCATTGCTCAGACAGTTCGGCACTAAGCCCACGTCTGAAGAAAGTGTTAGTATCCACTAGCCGCACCCTACTCACCGTGCATTCAGGAGCAGTGCAAATAGAGAAGAGTTGTGGGAATTGCTCCCTAAAGGGGGGAAGCCCTTTGATAGGATCCATCCACACTCGGGCAATATTACCAGATTCGATGTTAATCTTCCTCCCCACCAGGTAAACTTCCTTTACCTTCAGAAGAGCTTTCCAGCATGGTGAATCAGAAAACCTCGCACCCACCTCAGTAACAGTTTTGTTTCTAAGGTATCTAGCACGCACAATATCCTGCCACAACCCGTTTTGGGTCTCCAGCTTCCACCACCATTTGACCATTAGACTAATATTTTTGCTTTCTAAGGTCTTTAACCCCCAGCCCCCTTTGTCTCTGGATCTACAGGTCATATTCCACCTGACAAGATGATATCTACGCTTTTTATTACACCCTTGCCAGAAAAATCTACGTCTATGCTTATCCAGCTTTTCAATGAAAGTTGTATTCATGAGCCACATAGACATGTGAAAGATGGATAGCTGAGTAAGCACCGAGTCGAGTAGAGTGAGTCTACCGCCCATGGATGCGGCGTTGCCAATCCAGGCCTCAAATCTTTTAAGATATTTGACAACAATGAATTCCCAGTCAGAGTTTTGGAGATTGATGTAGCTCACAGGCATCCCTAAGTACTTAATAGGGAAACTCCCTATGTCACAGTTAAATAACTCAGCATATTCCTTAACCACGTTGTCATCTCCACCCACTGTGAGGATTTCACTTTTTTGAAAGTTCACCTTGAGACCGGACATCATTTCAAAGGTGTAAAGCAGCAACTTCAGGTTAACTGCTTTATCAACATCATGCTCTAAACAGATGATAGTATCATCTGCATGCTGCAGCACCGCGACCCCATCCTGAATCAGATCAGAGGCTAATCCCGTGATTAGCTTATTCTTCTGGGCATTTTTAATCATTTTGGTCAGGCACTCCACTGCAAGATTAAACAAGAATGGAGAGTGTGGGTCACCCTGCCTCACACCCTTTGCACTCTGGAAGTAGGGGCCCACACTGTTATTGAGCTTAATGCTAACTGTGCCCTTATGGAGAATTTGTTTTACCCAACCGCACCAGGTTTCATTGAAACCACGCAACTTATGACATTCCAGGAGGAAATCCCAGTTAACTTTGTCATATGCCTTCTCAAAATCAAGCTTAAGCACTATGCCAACTCTTTTTTTAACATGAGTGTAATTCAAAAATTCATGCAAAGAGAGCACCCCATCCATAATGTTTCTACCCTTAACAAACACATTCTGGGTGGGGCTAATCAGCTTATCAGCATACACCTCCACCCTGCGGTCCATTACCTTAGTAACGAGTTTATATGGGCACCTCAAGAGACAAATTGGCCTAAACTACTGAATCTTGTCAGCTCCCGACACTTTGGGTAGTAAAGTGATCACTCCATAATTAAGACGTTGAACATCAAGCGTCCCATTATGAAAGTGTCTAAAAAGGGACATGATATCATCCTTTACTATATCCCAACATATTTGATAAAATTCGAGAGGAATGTTATCTGGTCCAGGTGCCCTATTGGTGGCCATAGAGAAGAGGGCATCTTTAACTTCAGTTTTTGTGAATTCGCAGCAAAGATCTCTATTGTCATACTCACTCAGCTTTTCACTCTCGGACCAAGTATAAGGATCCAAGTGAAACTGATTGCCCTGAGCTGGGCCGAAGAGGTCCTTATAGAAATCAGTAGCATGGGCAATCAGGTTATCTGTACCCTCTATTTCCACCTCGCCAGCTTTAAGAGAGTGGATAGTATTTTTACGCTTACGCCCATTGGCAATTTTATGGAAATAATCAGTGTTCAGGTCACCTTTGAGAAGCCAGCGTTCGTGGGATTGCTGGAGCCAGTAAATTTCCTCATTAACCAAAATCTCATGGAGTTCAAAACACACATCGATTTTCCTGCTATACAGCTCTGGGGTAAGGGGGCCATCCTCCTCTAGTTCTTCTAGCATGGCTAACTCGAGCCTAAGTTCCTCCTTCAACTTTTTATTGTGACCAAATTTGTCTGAGCCCCACCCCTTAAAAAAGATCTTGAAACGCTTCAACTTAATATTCAGGATATCGATGGGATCTTTAGAGAAGACCCCTCGAGCCCAGATTTTACTGACCAAAGGAAGGAAGCGATCGTCCTTGATCCAAGAAAGGTCAAAGCGAAATTCGCGAGGTTTGGGAGCCTCTCGTCCCTCTTCCCCATAGTTAATCAGCAAAGGGTTATGGTCCGAGATCTCTCGAACCAATTTCCTAACAGAAACCAGGGGAAATAATTCCTCCCACTCCTCAGACATCAGGACACGATCAAGCTTCTCCAAGGTAGGGTGAGCTTGATTGTTCGTCCAAGTATATTTACCCCCACTAATATGAATCTCTCTAAGGGCCATGGTGTTAATAATAGAATTGAACAGGTCAGTGGATTTATGGCTTGCCATTTTTTTGTTTTTCTCCCCAGGGTGCCTGAGAATATTGAAGTCCCCACCCACTATATAAGGGACTTGCATATTGTGACACATAGTAGCAAGCTCAAGCAAGAATTCCTCCTTATGTTCTTCGTGAGCAGAGCCATACACTATCAACAGACCCCAGGTGGTTTTTTTCTTTTTATCCCCAACCACTAACTGCAAGATATACTTGCCTTTGTCACATGTAACCACTTCCAGGGTGTCCTGTCTAACTCCACATAGGATACCTCCAGATTTGCCAACAGAAGGGATCCAGTCCCAATTGAACAAGTTAAAGGGATCAATTCTCCTCAAACATTTGGGAGAAAATTTTTCTTTCATGGTCTCTTGCAGACCCAAGAAATCTAGGGAATGGTCACTGATAAGGTCAGAGAGGCAGGTGGCCATCCCTTTCTTGCCCACCCCTCTGCAATTCCAGATGAGCCCTCTCATCTAGAACGTTTTTTATGGAATTTGGACTTAGTAGCTCCACCAGGAGGCATGGCAGGGCTACAATTTTCACTCCCCTCTGAAACCTTTCTCTGGCTTCTAGTCATAGGCCTAGAAAGCTTGACAACAGGTTTCTTTGGTGTTTTCTTCTTAGGTTTACCAGGGGCCATCCTGTCATGGATGACCTCATCCTGGTCCAGCCAGGTGAGGTTCACTGGGGCTTTTTTACCCAACCCATTAGTAACGAAAATATCATCCTCACCACTTTGATCTAGCTTGCCTAAATTCTCTCTCCCCTCTAGATTTTTCCTAACATTTTCAAGCTCTCTCAGCACATCAATGCATGCAAAGTTATTATCAGGAATGGCAACTCCCATATTGGACACTCTACTAATTAATTCAGCATCAGACAGAATGGCAAAAGAATTTTTACGAGCATTATGAAAGTTACCTTCCAGATTTTTCTTGCTTGCCATCTTCTCAG